ATCAATTTTGTTTAAACTGAGGTGTGTGGATTCCCCTTCTTTGGGGCAGATTAGTGGGGCCCATTAGGGGAAATAGAGGAAAACATTAAAGATCCTTTTCCTTCTGTACCGTTGAAGGGATTTTAACCTAACCAAACTTGTTTTAGAGAATCTTTGGGCAAAGGGAATTGAATATTTATAAATGGAAGATGCAACTTTGTTACTTGTACTCCTTTGATAAACCTGAATGGTACTCAGCATGTTTTAAATTGAAAAATAAAATACCAGGTGAACTATTAAGGCCCCTGGGCCTCTTGTTATTTAACCCTTTCACCCCTATGTAACTTTAGCAGACTCTACCATGCATTGATCTGGATGAGTCCATTATGGTCTACAGTGGTGAAAGGGTTAGGATGCCTTCATCTGTGTATAAAATGTACATGTGCTTTAAAAACTAAAACATATTTTTACAATCCCTGGAGGAGAAAAAAATTCTGGAGAATTTAGTCATTACCCTGTCCATCCATGTGTTCATGTTGCGGAAACAAAATGATTTCTAGAGGATAACTTTAACCCTTTTACCACTGTAGACCATAATAGACTCATCCGAATAAATGTATGGTAGAGTCTACTAAAGTTACCTAGGGGTGAAAGGGTTAAAACAATTATTAATACTATTTAGAAAAACTATTAAATTCGGTTTATTATGCCCCCAAGGATCGTGAAAAAATCCAATCAAATTTGGGGTCCCTAAGTCAAACATCTTACCTTGGATGATGTCCTTTGAGTAGAGGAAGATTCCTATTGAGTTTACGGTTTCTAGATAAAGGTCAAGGTCACAACGGCCATTATCTGAAATTTTGCAAAAGGTTTTATTTTTGGGATGATAATTTTAGAAAAAATACTTCTAATTAAGCCAATTTTGGGAGAATGATTCCCCAGAGGTGTTTTAAAGGTCAATAGATTAAAGGACACTATAAAAAGACACACATTTCAGGAAAGTTTTGGTTTTTCAGATACTATCTCCTGAACAATTGATCAGAACTTGTCCAAACTTGGGTGGCAGCTGATGTCCCTAGAGAAGAGAAAGATCACTTTTGAGTTTGAGGCTTATAGTTTAAATGTCAAGGTCACAGAAGTTATAAATATATTGAAATTCTGTAAAAATGTTGATTGCAGTATGGTGTTGTTCGAATAATACATCTGGTCTAAATAAATTTAACTGGATCTACCCTTTAAAAGAGGAATACATTATGTATCTCTATTGATTGGGGTTACTGGATGAGGAGTTAAGGTCAAGGTGGCTATAAATAGACTAATTTCTGTGACGTGTCTATATCTGGAATCAGAAAATATGTTTCTTTTCCAGCTCTATGACTGGGCATATGCCCCTAAAACCAGGAACTTATTTGGGGAGTATGTGTCTGTTTTACCATCTTTTTGACTCGATATTATTTTTTCCCCGGATTTTAATTCAATAATCCTCAGTAGTGTATATATATATATTTTTTTTAACTTTTGCCACATGCAGGTACATATCGCAACTGAGAGAAAAAAATCTATACTATGCTTAACCCTTTCACCCTATGCAACTTTAGTAGACTCTACCATGCATTGATATAGATGAGTCCATTATGGTCTACAGTGGTGAAAGGGTTATTATACAGAATCATATTTTTGCTCTTCGTCGTGATAATTATGTCCATGAGGTTCAGTCCTGCAAAATAGGAATGGTGGTTGTAATGACATATATTTTCAAATTATTTATCATTACGTCAATCTCTGGTGTTCCAACCGATATCTTGGTCACACACTCCAGCTAAAAACCCTTCCCCTACAGACAGAGACGGACATCTTAAGACTCCTATCAATACTTATTATTTAATTTTTCATTACAAACCTATGTAATTTTTGTCGTTTCTGATTTCTGTGTCTCTGACATTTCCCATGACTTTTTTCTGTTGTTCAGATTCCAAGATGCCAGTACCTCGCAGTACATGAAGTTTTTGAAAGAGGGCCTACGCCGGGCTGAACCATATCTGGATCAGCTGTCATAGAAATCCGCACGATTTTCAAAGGCCTATGTCGGGCTGTACCATATCTCGACCAGTTGTCATAGTAATCCGCACAAGAAGTTCAAAGGCCTACATCTGGCAGAACCATATCACGACCAGCTCTCATGTTATATCAAAGAGTTCAAAGGCCAACATCAGGCGGAACCATATCGACCACCTGCCATAGAAATCCCAACAAGTTCAAGGCTCAAATCCCAAGACTGCTGATCCTTGGGCGTCTATGTAGACCTGAAATCATCATAGAAATTGTTCATATCATTCATTACATATCATAAAACTGTGACATAATGATTTTACTTGGGTGAAAGAGACTTTCAACTGAAATATAGTTTAAAAATAAACTTTATTTTTAAAGTTTAATGTCTCTTATGTATTAAAAATGATGTTTGATTTGTTAAGATGTTAAACAGACTTTTGTTTTTATAAGTGTGTGAAAGAATGAAAAATAAGATTTTTATGTAGTTTTATAGTTTACAGTGATGTTTGACCTCTTTCCCAACATTTTTGTCTGATTTCTCATTTTTGATGGAAATAACATACTTTTGATTAAAAATGAAAGCCAAAAATTATTCCTGTCAGTTATATTAGCACGCCAATCCTTATGGCAATACTAAAGCTTTTGTTATTCATTGTTAAATAATCTTTTTTACTGTCAAAGACAAACTAAAAAAACATCATCTATTCAAAAATAAAAATGTTGGGATTACAGTGTAATTACTTAGATAAAACAATGTCTGCTTTTGTGGTTTTTCTTTTAACTGATTGTGTTGAAATCCTTCTCACTGCATGTAGAATACCAACATTTCTTAATATTTTTTTCTTGAGAATAAGCCAACTGATTATTGTATGAGCAATATTTTTGGTAGATTTAGGTACTAACATTTATTTTTGATGTAATTATTTAGAAATCAAAACAGTACCAAACTTTGCATGCAAACTAGGTACGGTAATTCACACTGCTACTCATCGAGTCATTTGCAAATGTTGTTACCTAATTAAGTCAATTAAAAGTTAACCTTTGAACTTAATACTAGCTAGGGATATAACTGCAACTGATTATTTTTTTCAATGGGAGATAACTATTAATTAAAAAAAAATCAAGGGGAGATAACTTCCAATTAATTCATTTTTACAAGGGGAGATAACTCTCAATTCATTTTTTCAGTCCATCTTAAACCAGCATCTGATTTGTTAAGTTGAGCCTTAACCCTATACCAACCAAAATCCAAGTATGGTTACCACCAAAAGGTTATCCTGAACTTAAAACATGTCTGCTGTATGCAATAATGAGTCTCAGGAATTCTGAAATTTGATATATATTTATATCTGTGTATTGCTAGCTTTGAGATATATATCGCATTTTGTTACATTAATGTAGAATAGTGATCATAAATATGTTATGGCCTATGTGACATGCAAAATATTCGCGAGAACTTGTACAAAGTTTAAAACAGATGTTTAACTATTATTTGAAACTAGTGAAGAACAATACATAAAGGTTATTATTGTCAATAAACAAATTTTAAATGCCAGAAAAGTCATAAACTGGTTAAATTTTGAGTGCTACTTCTTTTGGGGGGAAAAATTCATTTGAGCTTGAATTTCAACAAATAGTGTTCTTTAAAGATATATACTACGTCTCTGTGACATTTACATCTTAAAAACAAAACAAAAACAAGGGAGGTAGCTCTAATATAAAAAAAAAATGTAAAATGTACACGGTTGCATATCTCCTTAACTTAAATGGAATGTTAATATAAGTGCTATTTTATATATATTTTGACAGGAAGAGTGAGGTAGGTATTTACACTTCAGGCATTAGTTATATGATCTAGACATCTGATAGGTATACAAGTGAAAGTTTTATTCTAAAACAAAAGAAAAAAAAAACCTCTGGTTTTGTTGGTTTAAATCTGAGGTGAGATGTTATAAGGTGTAGATGAGATGTTATAAGGTGTAGATGTGTTTATATGTTGTTTTAAAGTTATTTGTTTATGCTTTTGTACACAATCAGCTAGTATATAGAAATTGTTGGTGATGATTTTGTTGATTATTTTTGAAATATGCAAAAAAATATGTGCATTATTTGAAATATTTTCTGATAATCTTGTTCTGTAGAAATCACGATGACTTGCATAGCTTTAATGTATACTTCTTACCTGCTGAATTTAAAAAACCAAGCAGAATATCTTTTCAGATTTGGATATTTATATTACTGTTAGATCCTTTCTGAATTGATTGTAGATTTAAATTTAATCAATCTATTGGAAAAATAACAGAGGTGAAGACATATTTTTACAATAATGTCGGAAATGTGTTTAGAGATGATGTCGCAAAGAGCGAAAAAAATGGAAAAGAAAATGAGTTATTCAGTCGTCAAAGTCACAACCCCGTTTGTAACGTCTTGATTAGATTTTAGTCACTTAGCTAATAGAATACGCGAACAGTTCAGAGCCTTATGTGTCAAATTGTTGTTAAAAATATTTGTCGGAGCTTCAGCTCATAAATCGATTATATCTATCACTAACCATTTATATTAACAGGGTGAAGAGTGTTTCTGTGTGCAGCTCTAATAAAGAAACCATAATTATAGAAGCCTCATTTGAGGCAATGATCAAGCAAATCCAATCAGAACTATTTTTATTCGAGATAGGATAAAATAAGAAAATAAATAAACCCATATACAATGTATAGTTTTGCAAAAATTGTGGGTAAAATTCGTCAATGGATATAATACTGCTGTTATATCAGAAAGAACAGTATTTTCCTACATCCTCATTGGTTAGATCATATAATCACATGTAGGTCGGTGATCTGACACTGATATCGACTCTGTTTTGCTATTTTTAGAAAAAGCAGGTCTATATTCTCTGCCAGTTCTATTGTAACATCACAGTACACTGCCAAACTTTTTTCATGACGATTTTCTTGCATTCAATCTTGTTTCATGGGGGAAAAAAAGCATAATGTTATGTTTAATGTAACAATTAAGAACTTTTATTTTAGTGAATATCTCTGGATATAAGAACCTGAAAAGCAATACTAAGCTCAACTTTATCTAAGCTAATATCTTGTTCTGGCGTTTATAAAACCACATATGTACCTTAATTAACTTAAAGTCCATAGTTGATAAATATTCTATTGTACATGATGACATTATGAATATAATGAATATTTCATGACAGGAAGGGTTGGGGGTAATATTTTTACATTCCATAGAAGTTAGAAATGGATCACAGATTTGATTGATCGAGTCATGTTTTCATCTACTGACACAATACCTGCATGACGACGTGTTCAAAAAAGCTTCTGCTAGAGCATGTCCGATAATCTTGTATGACGTCAGATTTGAATCCATGACAACGATCAGTCTTTATCTGTGATGACAAAGACACCTAATATATTTTTCTACTTTTTCATCAATTGAGTAAAGTTAATCTTTTATCTTTACAGTTTTGTCTAATAAAGTTTGTTTTTATTCAAATGATTCTTGTTTTATTTTATTTGCCAAAATATAAATGTCTATAAATTCAAGTGTTTTCTTGTTCTCTGCTTAAGGTGAACATGCATCGAAAGGCAAGTACTCTTACATGTCTGTCTGGTTGTCCTGTGCAGCTTCTGGACAACTTATCATTGTAGTAATAGGTGGTCTTCTGACACTAACCTTCGTGATTGGAGATTGAATTTTCTAAAAATATCTTTTAAGTTTTATCATTATTAGTCATTAGGAGCTTTCATCCTGGATAATTATATTGAAGATAATTGAAGATAACTGATCATGGCATATTAACAGTAATAACTACGACCAACTACAGCAAAACCTTGTGTATGGCACCATTTATTTAGAGAAAATTTTGACAATATAAAGAGGTTTGGCAATGAATTGAGGGAATCTTTAAAAGGAATTCTTAAAGGGACAATTTAGTGAAGTAAGTTTTTTTGATAACCTGAAAATCAAGTCGAAACTGAAAATATATGATTTATGGTAAAATCGGCCTCAATTTACCCAAGTGAAATCGGCCCAAGTTAAAATCGGCCCTATGTATACATGGAATATACATAAATGTTATACTAACCCCTTTCTTTGGATTTCATTTATATATCGACCTCTGAACATATATAAGGGGCCGTAGGGAGAATTTCAAACAGCAGAAAGTACGATATTAATAACGATGTTTCAGATTAAGGTGATGTTGGAAGATGCTTTTGATTCAGGATAAATGCATGTACTTGTATTCCAGAAAGGCTAGGTGAATAAAGCGAGAAGTTACCTTCTCCCCCCGGCTGGTATTCACCGACAGCTGCCACTAAAACGTACGGCTGTGTGTACAGTTTAGGATTTCTCAATTATGGATTAAAAACGGCAAGAAAACATTGTCTCTTGTCAATTTCTCGACATCAGTTGTTCATAGGGAGTATCAAACTATATAATCATGAAGAGTTTTGTAACAAGGTTACAAAAAAAACTTACTTCACTAAATTGTCCCTTTAAGAAAAAGAGAAAAGGGGAGTTCAGCATCTCGGATGAAAAAAGATGTAGTCACTACGTCACGTGTGCATAATTTATTATGAATGGACGAAATTGGGGAAAGTGTTCAAATCTGTCCTAAAATTTTATTTTCTTACCAGGTTCTCAATGATTATCATCTAATCTTTTTTTTCCTCCTTATCTATCTTTCCTTATTACTTTTTTCCCTGTCACTCTCTTCAATTTGTAGTCTATCTTTCTTGTTCTATCTCAGGAATAGTCATGGATAATTTTTCATTTCCGTTTTCAAATTAATTTAAGGATTAATACCACTGCCAAAAACTGTAAAAACACATTGAACATTGCTTTTCCGGCCTGACTACAGCTTTCATAAATTAATTCAGTAAACCATGCGTTACAGGATTTTTTTGAAAAATAATTAAGGTGGAATTAACAAAATATAATCAACAGTGGTCCAAGATTTAAAAGGTAGTCAAGCTTAAGGCTAGAATGGGATTCAAACCCAGGACCCCAGATTGTTCATTTTCATTTCAACCAATCTGATTAAAATCATCTGTTACATGGCTTCGTTAACTTCGTACTACGCGTTCAGGCGGAGCCCTGTAACAGATGATTTTAATCAGATTGCATTTCAACAGATTTTATTGACTTTATATATGTCAATTGGATTGGACATCAGGGCTTGGCCTATTTATAGTCCTTTCCAAATTTATTTACAAACATTACCAATCTGATTAAAATCATCTTTTACATGGTTCAGGCGTAGTACGAAGTTAACGAAGCCATGTAACATGATCTTTATCAGATTGCAAACATGACATATATTCTGTCATAACAATCCAATTAAACAGTGCAGGGGAGATAACTCCAATTTAGCTTTTGAATTTAACATTTTACAGCTTTTAATATAAATCGATACACGGAGGACAAGGGCCATGGCCCTCTTGAAATGTTCTCTTGATAACTCCATGGTAACGGATTGTTTCGCCCTAAATCCCATTCGCGCTAAGGGTTGTTTCGCCCTAAATCCTGTTCTCCCTAGGTTGTTTCGCCCTAAAAAGAAATAAAAAAAAATAATATGCTAATATAATAATTAATATTCAAATGTATCAAGTTATCAACTGAACTTATTGATGACTTTCTCCATTTATGTGAGAGCGCGCGGAGTCAGCTTTTCACAGCCGCCGTTTGTCACCCTCGCTTAAAAATTAGACAAACTCATTTTTTTCTATGAAATTGATTTTAATGATATGGAAGACTAAGGAGACTTAAAACTACTAAAATTGAAAGAAAATACCATACAACATTTCGCTCTAATATTTTTGTTTTAGGGCGAAACAACCTAGGGCGAACGGGATTTTGGGCGAAACAACCCGGAACCGAATTCCATCACGGATTTCACTTTGTTGATGTTTTCAAATACGTTTTCCTAGTTCAAGATATCATCAGTTATTACTCCTATGTTTTTATCTGCATTTGTTAAAATTCGTTTCCAGCCTATTCCTTCCTATGTGTAAATGCACACATCTTTCCGAGTGGAGCTTCAACAACCCATTAAGGTATAGCACCATTGTTTCATCCGTCGGATATCTTCTTGAAACAGGACCTGTTCCAATTCTGTAGTGGTCATTTTAAACTTTTTGTTGTGTCTTTCGCAAACAAATGTGATTCCGAATCCAAAAATTGAGTAGATAATCTATATGGATGACAAACACTTTGGGACCTATGACAGACCCTTGTGGAACTCCCCGTGTTTTATTATTCTATTCCGAGAAATTCTTCCAAATGAATATCTTCTATGTATCCATCAGACAATGAAGTGTATTCCGTATATATGGTTTTAATTGGTGGCTAAGCCTTTGGCAGGGTATCAGCCGTGTCCAACGGAATTCACAAATTTGTATAAACGTACATGGTATAACAGTAGTCCATTTAATCTTATATACAGTACGGCATTTTTGATCGGCGCGATATTCAAAGTAATTCATAGTAATCTTCCATCATTGGAAATCTCGATAGAGATTGTTGCGATGTCTCTTCTTTTTGCTTTATTCAATACAGACAGACAGAAAGATATTGCACTTTTAGACATGATTAAATGCTACTCTCTAAACTTACGTATTGTTGTATTAACATACAAACATGTCTTTGGATATCTCAGTTTAAATGCACAGAATCAGATAGCTGTCCTGTCCTCTCCGGGGTCCCGCAGGGGACAGTCCTCGGCTCTCTGTACATCAATCATTATTGTCGACTCAGTTTCGTGTAATATAAAACTATATGCTGATGACTGTCTATTAATTACACAAAGAAACTCGATAGAAGATTGTGTTAAGTTGAACAATGACCTTAAGCCTTTAGAAAAATGGGAAGAAAAGTGGCAAATGACTTTTAACACCAGTAAATGTTATATCATTAACGTACCCCAAAAAATAGAAACATCATTAATTATAATTATACACTTCATAATCAGATTTTAGAAAATGTAGATTCTAGTAAATATCTTGGTGTCACTTTCAGTTAAGACCTAACTTGGGGCAAACACATTCAATCCGTGACCAACAAGCTCAGGTCAATAACCTTAAGCTTCTTACGTCGAAATACATCTTCATCACAGGCATACACTACTCTTGTGAGACCAGTTTGAGAGTAAGTCTTAATTTGTTGAGACCCCTATTCCATATAAAATAAACATAATATCTATCACAAAAGACGCCTACAGCACACAGAGCCAAAGTGAGCGTAACCTGGATATCGAGGATGACATTATATAGGTACACAATTCATAAATATCCACAAATGTAACGTGAC